AAAATATTTTTAATAAACGCGGTCGTCCTGCTCCTTTTTAGTCAACAGAACAACAAAGAACACTCAACACTCCACTCGAAGGCTCAATATTCGCAGATCAATGGAATGTTTTTTCAGTGTATTATTGGTTCGACTTAATATGAATTAATATTAATATAAATAAAGTGCTGCGCAGATAGCTTGGTGTGCCAACCCAGCGCACCGGTGCACTAACTCAGTTCCGTTGATGTGAAAATGTTGACGACTTCTTTAAAACTTTTTTTAGATTCATTTTAAAGGCAATTTATTAATAATATTTTCAAAATGTCTTCAAATTTCTGAATTTTCCATTTTCCATTTCCACCTTTTAGCCATGTTACTCTTTCTTCTAAATGATCAATTTTATAAAGTTTCCCTTAAAAATGCTGATGATCATTAAAAATGATAATCTTAAGGTATTTTCTGCGAAAAATTATGAAATAAATTTCGAATCCTTCGTCGCTTTGTAAAAAGGTTTAAAATCTCTTGCCAGCTTCGAATTTGGAACAAAAATCAAACAATTTTCTATCAAAAAACGAACAGAATACGCGAAAGTTTATCACAGATTACTTGGAATTTATTAAAAATGCGTTTTTTTTCTCCTCAAAAACGCTCTATTTTGTAGTTTCACTTAAAAATACTGACGATCTGGAAAACTTTTACGCGAAAAATAACAATACAAATTTATAGCTTTGTAAAAAATTTACAAAAACTAACTTTTTTCAGTGTCAAAATCGGGACAAAAACGAAAATAAATTCCTACAGTTTTTTCCCGAGAGCCACTCAGGTTTTCTCCAAAACCGATAACAAAACTGAAGGTTTTTAATCGAAAACGCAAAAAAGCATTATTTTCTTCTGTTCTGACAATACTGGGTGTTTCAAGTCAAAAATTACAAAATTAATTTTGCCAGAAAATTTGCCCTATTTATCAGTTTGCAGGGAACTTTAGAAAACCCTTTTCAGCTTCGAATTTGCCACAAAAACCCAATAATTCTATTCAGTTTTTTACCGAAAGTAATTAGGACTATCTTAAAAAAACGACCAGAGACGAAAAGTTTACAAAAAAATTATTAGGAAAATTCGCCGCTCTCATCGCTCTGAAGTTTCCTAAAGGTACTTTAAATTTCCAGGTCATTCTAGTTTTAACAAAGTTTCTATTAAGCAATCAAGCAAAGCATCTTTCTATGCAAAAATCGCATTATTTTTTAGTTTTACTTAAAATACTGGCAATCTGCAGGTATTTTCGGTGAAAAATCATAAGGTAAATTTTATTGGAACACTCGGCTCCTTAACCGCTTTGCAAAAATGTTTGGAAAACTTTTAATAATTATTTCTAGGTCTTTTTCCAAAAATGTTTCCCCGAACTGAAAAAGTGAAAATTTATAATTATTTGTTTGTAACACTATCTGCAAACTGGAGTTTCTTCACTTTTAGGTCCATATTTCTAAAGAACACTGTCTCTAAACAGAAAAACCGCGTTTTTCCTAACGTCTTACTGTAAAATACTGGCAAATTGAATCTTTTATGCACAAAATTGAAGAGATCGATTTGACAGGAAAACTCGTCGACTCAATTTGGACTCAATTCTGTTGCTGGGAAAATCTCGGTTACTTTTTTTAGTTGTTTGAACAAAGTAGTAAAACGTTATTCAGAAAAAATGTTAATAACCCTTTCTAAGATGTGAAAATTCCAGTCTCGGGTCTCGTAAAGCGTTAATAAATGAATTATAACTCATTAACCGATGAGTTAGCGTTAACGCATTAACTCAGAGAGCGGCCACAACTCAATAGCGCAACTCAACCAAGTGTTACCCAGGCCTAATCTACACCATTCTTTCGTGTGACACGCAACTTTTTTCTCAGTGTGTCCGCCCACCTAGTCAAATGAAGAATCCCGCCATGGCAATTCAAAGACAACGCGCCATTCTTTCCTACCTTTTTAGTGTGTATGTGAATAAAAAATACGCAAATCTTGAAAACAAATTTTAAAACAAACTTTCCGCCTTAAAGAAGCGATTGTCAAAGTGTTGGAAGAAAAATGTTCTCCGCAAGGCCAGAATCACCTCAAAACTGGCGTTATCTTCTAATTAGGAAGTCGCACCTCGTCGTATTTATTCGGGGTGAAACCGTTGCTGAATTTATTTCCGTGACTTATACAGCGCCGAGGGGAATGCCAAAAGAGGAAATTGAAAAGTTATATACTTAAATAAAACTTGAAGCGTTCGGAATCGAAGTGGCGCTAGCGCAGACTTCTCTATCTCTTAGGGACTCCACTTACTCGCATACTAACGTAATAAAAGCTGTCTTTTATGGAAATTCTGTTTAAAGTTTCCGAAACACGAAACATCACAGAGAAGTAGAGGTAACTAAGGGTTTTATACCAAATTGGTAAAATTTGAATATACTGCCCAAACTGCCCCTTTTTAAGGGGCCACAGGCGGCTTTAGAAGACCCATAAAGGCAATTAAAATAGAGAATGCTAGTAAATAGTTGAAAGGAATGCTTCGCGGGAAAAGTAGCAAACATAAAAAAGTCTGGAAACTAATTTAGGGTGATCTTTCAACAAGCGAAATTTTATGCCAGTGCCGACGTTCATGCTGATGAAAAGCTGCAAGTTCAAAAATTTTTCAAATCGCCAACTGCATTTATTAATTTCTTTCCAAAATCAATACTCCACTAGGCAAATCAAGCCGGAAATACATTTTTATCCACGAGAGATTTGGGCCGTTGCAAATGCGTGGACGTCTATGAAATTGTTTTAACGGCACTGTCAATGTAACCGGAATATTTGGTTTCAATTTCGCATTCAAATAGGGGTTGATGACTGTTTTTCCCATTTTCCTGAATAAATATGTATCCATGCCTGGCTGTATTCTTCAGATGCCAATTTAATATTAACTCGCTTGCAAACAATTAGATCTGCAAGAACAAAACTATTCGTTGGTTTAAATAAAATACATAAGTGCAGTGGGGGATTATTTCTTTTAGGTCAGTTCAATCGGAAAGGTCACAAGCCTTGCTTTTTTTTGCATTTGGGGGTAATTTGTGATCACTTGGAGCATTCGCAAACTCTCTTGCAATTCAAGCGAACATATTTTTCAGCCATCGGCCTACTAAGCACGGTGCACATATCATATCATAAGAATCCGTAAATAAAGCTGTGGAAGAAAAATGAATTTACACGCCAATATCTGAGTGAAAATCCTTTAGACTATTCAATTTATTGTTTGAAGTGCTTCGCCCCATTTTCCCTTGTTAGTAATATTACGAGCCCCTATAAAATACATCTTCCTCTGATTTCAGAAGGGTGTAAAGTCGGC